ATATGATTTGTTCTGTCAGAAGTTGGAGAATAATTAACTAATTAATTTTTCTGTTTACTTCATAAGCATGCCTTAAATGACAGTTCAATGTAACACTCTACAAATAAGTGTCTTTTAAAAATGAAATAATTTTTAAAAAAATGGGATGGAAGAAAGCTAATTTTTTTGTTCTTAATAATAAACTTCTGGGAGAGAAGAGTTATGGTGTAGGATTATCCCATCAAGAATGGTCTTCTCACACTGTTCTAGGGAGCTTTGATGAGACCATGTAAATAAATGTGGAGTAAGGGGAGTTCTTACCAATCTTATATGATTCTTCTCTATTAGAAATGTTTTCAGTTATTGAAACTTACAGCTAACATTAGGTTTCCATTACTGTTCCCACAATTAAAATTATCTTGTAATTGAAAAATAACTTCCATGTTCCTGACCTGTTGTCTTTGTGACAGTATTCAGCAACTGCTGATTACTCTGTGGGCGAGTTCAGGGTTATAACTTGGCTGTTCTGCAGGCAGTATTAATGTGGGTGGAAATTATTTAGATGGATTCATCTCTTCTAGGTAAATAGTATTAGATTTTTGTTACTGCATTAAAAAAGGGGTGTGCTACAGAGAACAGGTTGGTCAGTCACATGGTCACTGGCAATTCTTGGAAGCAGTGGGCTTTGGCCTTTCTTGTTCTTAAAGGAGTAGTTCAAGGTGAAAAGTAGGTAATTTAATTTTTTTCTAGGTAATTCTGGATAAAGTAGAGCAAATATTAAATAATTTTAAAATAACGTCACTATAGTGATTTGAGTTTGTGAAACTCCTGTTATGAGCTAGGTTTGCCACTCAGACTTTCCAGCTGAACACTGGCATAACTGGTTCCTTGATGAGATCTGAGCTGTGTGAAGATCTCTGAAGATTCAGTGCTCAAAAGAGGTTTTAAATTGCCTAAAGGGTGATCTCTAGGTGCACAGTAAGAGTGTTGAGTTGCCTTTATATTATGATATGGTCATGAGTATGTGAGATGAAAAAATTAATACACGAAATCAAGTATTAACTTTAAGATGTGATCAAATATGCAAGACTTTTAGTTCGATTAGATTAACCTACCACAAATTGCTATTTTATTTGCAGTGTTACTGATTGCTTAACAGAAGATTTTGTCTTATTTTTCTAGTAGCTATTTATTTTGTGGTCAAACCTTGCTGCGTATTTTACTGCCTTTTTGGTTACACAAGCAAGAATTTATTGATTCATAAATAAATGTTTAACTCTAGTAGAGTTAATGCAGTATTTGCACACGGATTATAATGTATTGCTTGAAAAATTAATACGCAGTGGATTATAATGTATTGATTGAAAAAATCAATACATAGCTTTTTTGTGTTCTGGGTATCAGTTTGAAATTGGATGCTGCAAGACCTGTTGTGGTCACTCTCAAATTCTCAAGAGATAGGAAGGATTATTTGCATTTTCAACTCGGTATTGGAGCATGATTCTGGATTTAAGGTTCCTGTGAATCTAATATGCCCATTTATGTCTTCTCAAAGCTCACTCTGGAAAATAGCAGGGAAAAAACCCCCAAACAAAACAATCCATTGCCACACTACTTGCTCAAGGGAAACTTGACTTCAAACCCTTCTTTGAAAGTCCCTGCACAATGGTGCCAGTGTTTTAAGATGATCTTTTTATCTGCAGTTGTTTTGGACCTTCTATTCTACCCTATGAAAGGGCAGAGAAATAGGCATCGTAAAAGTCAGTATTGACAGTGGGTTAACAGCAGATGCTTAGGCAAGAATAAGTGAGACGTGCTGCTGGATTATCACTGTGTGCTTGCTTACCATTCTGCCTTTCAGTGATTTCATGGTTTAGGAGGTCCTGAGGTAGAAATTGCATCTTCAAATATGGAGTTTGTCATGGATTTTCTTTTCATAGTTTGCCCAACTGCATGGACTGTAAGCTTAATTATACATTTTATGAGGAAATAACTTTTTTTTTTAATGTCCCCTACTCCTAGAACAATCAGACAGTTACTTCATATTTACATTTCCTGTCAGTTGTGGTCCTGTGGAAGTATGTCCTCTCCTGCTTTTACCTATATTCTTCTTTCTTCTATTTAATTGTTCCTTATACAAGGCTGTACTGTATCTGTCCCATGTAGCCATTTTTTGTATCTCTATATTGGTAAATGAAGACAAACCAGAAGTGCACACAGAATTGACTTGATATAGAATGTGTGATGAAATTACTTCGTGATGAATTTTTCTCTTTTGTTCTGCATCTCTCTCCTGTATCATTCTACTCTCTATCATTCTACTCTCTATCCTGTGTTATTCATATAATTCAGTTTTATTTTCTTGTCAACCCAGAGCCAAGAAGCTGTTACTGTCGTAGGCAGCTCTGTTGTAACACAAAGATCACGTCCCAGCATGCTGTCTGTCAGCTTTGGGTCTGTTGCTGTATATCTAAATTTAAGATCTTTTATCTGTGAATGCTTTTGACCCTTGTCTGACTTTGAGGGAGAGGTGCAAATCTGTGTCTTGTTCCAAAGGAAGTAAGAGCTGCTATGAGAGCAGGATTTGGTGTTAGGAGACATCACTGCTTTGCTGTAAGTAAGGACTGGATAGTTAAGAACATCTGGTTTTTGCATATTTCTTCTTTCCCATCTGTCTTATTTCTTAACGGAAGAGGGTTATTTGGCAATAGAATAATTGCTTAAGAATAGATCAGATGAAGTAGTGAACTAAAAGAACAGTATTAAACTTTGGATTCTGTATTTTTGGTATTTTTCTTCAGTAAGTCTTCATTCATTTACTTTTTACTTTCTAATTAGCCATGTATTCTTCAAAAAAATCTTTAGCAAGTGCAGATCATTCAAGCATTTCACAGTTGTCTGGAGCATGCAATAAGATTCAGAATACTGTGTCAAAGAAACTATGACACTTTATCTAACTTGCACCAGAATTAATTGGCTGTGGAGAATCACTTTGAACTTGGCTAGTGCTTTCTGGCATGGGGCTGTATAGATTCTGCATTTCAATGACACGAGAAATACAGATTCCTCAGAGTTGTACTTGTTTTGCCCCCTTTGCTGGTAGGCCACTGTCTATGCTATTTTCTGCTCTCTTTTCTCAGTAGAGTTAATTCTGTTCTGCATGATTGTTTGTTCATAAGACTCTCCTGAAAGCTCTTGGAAAGTGGCCCACAGGTTTTAGCAGAAACCACTGCCACTGTGGGGGCCTGCCTGTGACTTGGGTGTTTTCTCTGCTCTAGTGGTCAGCCTGCTCGTACCTTTTCTGTAAAGCATATCTCTCTGAACTTGGATCATTTGGGAAATAATGAGGGATGCTATTCAGTATTACACCTTTTTTTTATTTTTTATTTTTTTGTCCAGTGCAATAACTTTCTTGTATATGCTTGTTCAGTAACAAGCAGAGTACGTGATTTCTTGCATAGCTTCCCTGTTTTGATAAAACTAAATCATAGCCACTCCCTTCCATCTTAACTGCCATCTCACACGAGGGAGTATAAACGCATAATTTTAAACTTGACTCATTTTGATGATTGTACAAGTGTGCTGGATGATTATTTTTTTAAGAGAAAATTGCTATGACATCCCTAAATCAAACTTAAATAGGGAGTAACCTATGGGTGTTTGGTTTAAATCTTTTAAGTATATATCTATACTTGTCAATCATAGTCTTTCTGTAAGTGGAGGACACATGAGGTGAGGTTTGTTACTGCTTTGCACAGGAGAGAAAAAATAAAAAGGTTACCACCAAAAGAAATTAATTATTTACTGCTAATTAAAACAAAGCACGTGAAAGAAACTACCATAAGTGGGTTAGAAACAGAAATCTCTTACTGATATGAGGACAGGTCCTACCATAAACTACTTTCAGGCTTTAACAGACATTAGTTGTTAGTTTATGACTGATACAATTTTGAAGTATTACCTTCTAATATAAAGGTGCTACAAAAACTGGCTCTGGAACTGTGTTGTGAAAAGTGTCGTCCAAATCAAACCTTAAAGTACAGCTGTACTCTTGAAAACTTATTTTTAGCTCTACTAACTTGTAGGTGCAAAATTGGTACATAATTTTTATTCTCCAGATTGGCATCTATTGTAGATGTGTGCACACATTTGTGATTAAGAAATTACCAAATTAGCATCATACCAGTGAACATGTATTTTTTTTTTCTCAGAGCAGAAACATACTTTTAGTAAGGTACAGCAAGGGTTTGCATGCTGTAGAAAGCACAATAGGAATTGTGGCTAGCCACTACTAGTTGTTTTTGTTTAGCAGTACATTATGTAAAGCAGGCTAGGAGAAGTAGATACTTGGCCACAAAAGAAGGAAAATCTTCTTCCAGAACTTAACCTGCAAGACTTCTTTTCAGCGTGTGAACGAGCATGGAAATAAATCTGTCCCTAGAGATCAGCAGATGAGTTTGTCTGTGATTTCCTGATCGTAGTCAGTTTGATTCTTCAGTATTGTCCCTGAAGAAGCTATTTCACTGGGACTGGCTTGATTAGACAGAAATCAATGAAGGCTTGAATTTCTTTTCCAGTGTATCCAAAGAAATCTGTATTCTGGGTTAAACTTTATTTTTTTGGCTTTTCCATGTAATACCATCCACAGTATTTGCCATGGACATGAATGCTAGTAACAAACCTTTCAGTCTTTTATTTCTAAAATGTTTGTCATGTTAATGCTCATGCACAGAAACCTGAAAGCGAAACTTCCCAGGGACTTTAATTTCAGAGAACAAGCTGAACAAAATCTCTGTACTGATAATATTTCTAGTTTCTCAAGTACCTGATAGCCCCTTCCTGCTCCAAAACTTGGAATTTTGCATTTAACTAGAGAAAGGGGACCTTGTTTTCTGTTATGAGCAGGTAAACTAATTTCTTGGTGCATTATGTAAGTTTTGAACTGGAAGATGGGGATTTTGCCTGGAGATAATGAGAGACTTTGTATCTGATGTGCTTTTTTTTTGTTTTGTTTTGTTTAGTGGGAGACTTTGATAAGATCTGGCGTGAGCACTGTGAGGATGAGGAAACTCTGTGTGAATATGCTGTGGCAATGAAAAACCTTGCAGATAATCACTGGGCAAAGACTTGTGAAGGAGAAGGCCGAATTGAATGGTGTTGCAGGTAAATCTTAATGTATTTGAAACACACAATTGCACGCTTTTACTTGCAGTTATTTATAATACAAAGCTTAAGTGTTTCTTACTTTTTTACCAGTATTTTAAATTTGTTCTACAACATGTTAATTATTTATTTCTTCCTAAAACCAATACCTTCTTAGTGTTCCAACTTACTAAGGAAATAGCTTATGAAGATAGCTTTTGTTATGAGATGATCTTTTTTGCAATATTCTCAACAGTCAAACAGGTTTTTTTTCCTGACATACTAAAGCTGTTTGCAAGTAAACCTATGAAGTAATTTTCCATGCTTTTTAACCTAAACTGAGTAAATGCAGTGATTGTAGCTCAAATTTAGTTTTCAGGGGTTTCATTTGATTTATGCATATAATAGTGCTTGATCTCTAAATGCAAATCTCTGGTACTTAGTTTTCGATTCTTAATCTCCTGCAACAGTCTTTAACCACAGTGAAACGTGTTTCAAATGTATTTAAAACTTAAAAATTCCTATTAGTCATAAGCATTTAATTTTTGTTGGGCTTATCTGAATTGTGAAGTAATGAAATAAGAAGCTAAACTATTTCAATCCTTGAGGAAAATAAATTCTTAAAAGAGAAGAAATGTTGGTCATTCAGAATTGCTGCATACAAGGAATTGGCGCCCAAGACATACTACAGAATCTGTACAGCAGAATAAAACAAACTGCTGTTGAAATTTTAATGGGAAGAGAGTTTATCAATGGTCCTGCCTTTGCAAATGACTTCAGAAAAGTGAAAAGTAATCTGGTGTGCCAGTCTATAGGACATGCTGGTGAGTGTTGCAGAGTGCTGAGCAAAAGGCAGCAAAGAACAGCAGATGTGGTATCATTAAATTTAAATTCCCTTGAGCCCATAAAACAAAAAGGAGAGAGGATTGACTCTGAAACAGTTGATCTAGAGTACATATTGGTGAAAACTTGAGGTGTTCTGTGGCTTCTGGAAATGGAGCAAGTAATAACAAGCTAGGGTTTTTTTTCCTACCACATAATTTTACGTATTTGAAAACCATTCCTTTACTTACCAATCTTTTATCCTTTAGCTTGATTATAACCCACTAGAGTTAAGTGTTTCTTTATAGACCTCTTTCTGGACATGCCTTATGTATCTTTATCACAATTACAAGAGAGGTGATTCAGTTATAAAAAACTATACCTAAAAATGGACAGAACATTTCAGTGGCCTGGTCAGGGATAAATAAAATAAACAGATTTTATTGATGATGTAGTAAACTCTTGTTTATGCTGTTGATCTTGTTTGGTGGGATTTTGGTATTTTTGGTGGTGGTGGTTTGGTTTGGGTTCTGTTTGCTTGTTTTGTTTGGGTTTTTTTTAGTTGGCAGGGCATTAATTTATGATCACTTGTGATCCCCAGCTGCCTGTTTCTGTTTTACAGGCTTCCTCAGTTGCTAGTTGTTTTTTTGTATTTGTGTTATTCGTTACTTCTGTGGAAATGCTGATACTTTTGTTTCTCTGTTCTACATTACACTTTCTTGAATCATACTGAATTCTAATACTGTAATTTCTTGCAGTGTCTTCCCCCACCCTACACTGGTTTAGCAACACTCTCAGATCCCTGAAGGAACTGGAACTGACTGTTCCACAGTTCAGGTTATCTGTGAAAAAACTAGTTGTACTGGACCCAGGGCAGATTCCATGGAACATTGCTTGATATTTTTTTACAATTTGATTGTCATCTAATGTGTGAAACTTTTTTCAGTAGAGCTGTGTGGACTTAATTTCAGCTAAGCAGTATTCCCTCAGCTTGTGACAAGCTTGTCTGTTACCCTGTAGAACAGGATAATGTTCTTTGTGGACAGGAGAGGACAGTTGATGACCTGTGTACTGAAGGTTTTGGGCTCTCACTTGGTTTCTGTTACAGATCATTTACAAAGTAAACATTTAAATAAGTGTCCAGTTTGGGCCTTGCAGCCTGAGCTTGTATAAGGAAGAGAATTCACCCATTAAGAGACACTAAAATACTCTTAGTATAAAGCTTCAGATAAAGCGTGTAACTTCAGTTTGCAAAGTCAAGGGGTCAGAAGTTTTTACATCAGCAGAAAGAGAGGGGTACTTTTCATTTCTGCATGTCGTGGAATAAATCGAGGCCTGAGTTGCTAAATACCAGAACATACCAGATTGACTTAGTGTTCTGCAGTATTTTGTTCCTTCTCACAGTGCCAAGAGGTGTGCCACACAGGTGGCAGGTCCCTTTGTTGTTACTCCTCCTTGTGCCTGAGTGCATAATTGCATGCAAGAGAACTTAAGTGAAGGCTTTTGCTCAATACTTATTACTGTGTCACCATGACAGCAGGAAGAGAGCTGTTTTATATTAGATGAATTTTAATTTAGGACTGGAATGCTGAAAATAATTTGGAACCACCAGTGTATCCCTGTTGAACAAAGGAGAGACTGAGTTTTGTTTTAATTTGAAGGAAGATCTTTTCAGAGATCTGAAACTGAGAAGTGTTTTTACCATTAGTAAGAAAGGAAAAACGGCACAAAAGACTTTGTGGGTTTTTTTTTCTTTCCTTCATTTTCCTTGTATTCCATTAGCATCTGATAAAATAAGTCAGAGAGTGCAGAATAACAACTAGAGAAGCTCCATGTACTTCTCAGGATCAAGAATGACAGTTTTGTTGCCGAGTACTGCTTTCAAAAGTCTTTCTAGGTATTTAGTTGAAGGTACTGGAAAAATTCAGACTTTACTTCTTAAACCAGATGACATAAAACTTATTGTTTTACTTCTTTAGTTTTGATTTAAAGAAGCACATATCCAGGCTCTAGAAACTGTAAAAGATGAAAAGCAGTACATTATGGACTATGCTGACGGCCATATGCTGAGTTATATGGGGCCAGTTTTGTTTCAAGGCAACATGGAATTGTGAGGAGAACTGGGGAGAGAGACAGCAGAAGAGCAATTAAAACTTCATTCACTTGCAGATCCAGGTTAATGATCCCCTGAGCAGTGATGTAAAAAGCCTGAGCAACAGTCAACTGTTCTTTCCTTCCTTTCTTTTTATATATTTAGAAAATTGTGAATAGCACATGGTATTTACAGATTGACACTTCTGTTTAATTTCTATTACAAGACAAAATTAAGAAAAACGCTGAAGTAGGGTAAGATGGTGCTTACTCTAACTAATTGTCCTAACTCTTAATTTTTGCTGGCATAGGTAGGCTGATGAACCTTTGTGTGGACAGTGAATGCCAGCCTGTTCTGGTCCTAGTTAGAACAAAATAAGCTAGACCAGCAGGTTTGCTTCTTTCTGTTGCTTTTGCATCAGTGTTAAGACTTGTGTTGACTTGACTGTTTTTTTAAATAGTTAAAGTGCAGATTTTATTTTTTGCTATAGTGACAAAACATTGTCTAGACCTGTATTGTTTTTTAAAAACTCTTTTGACTGTTTCATGAGCAAAGAAATATGGTCCTGTTGAAATTAGTGTCAGGTGAGTGCAGAACTGTTTGGAAGAATTTGCAGAGAATAGATGTGAGGAGCTTATCTTAAAATGTGGTTTACTGAGAAGGAATTTGTTAGTGTCTGCCTCTGTATCCATAACTAATAATACTTTCATTAGAAGTCTGCTAGAATAAAGACTATTAATTACATTTGTAAATTTCCAAAGAGAAAGGAATTGTCACTCTGAGAGCAGAATTAAAATGGAACACTGTTGTTAACTACACTAAATATTATCAACTATATTAAACATTATCAGCTGTAGAAATACAGGCCAGGGAGTAATTGGTTGTGTCAGTCTTTTGAAAAGCCATTTGGGTTCTGTAGCAGGGCACAGACTGAATATGAAGCACTCATGGGATGCTTTTGCAATAAAGGCAAATATCATACTGCAGAGTGTGAATGAGATTGTCAACAAGATATGTGAAGTACTGCTCTGACTTTATTTAGCATTGCTCTTAGACATAATATCACCTTGGCCACTGCATTTAAAAATAACAAACAGCAGCTCACCTCCAAGAATGATAAAGAAATTTTGAAAAATATTCTAATTTTTTCCACAAAAGCCTTAGGGTTCTTTTCTAGAAACTGGAGCTATCTAGTCAAAAGAAGGGGGGAAGCCTAAGTAATCTCTTACAGGATCATTGAGAATAACAGGTCTCTACTAGAACTGGAAAGCTGATCGTCTTTGATTTGGAAGATTGAATGAATGCAAGCCCCTTAAACACTGTTTTGCAGGTTTTTTGATGAATGCAGTTAGTCAAGCAATTCACTTTCAGGAGAATGGAATTAAGAGGGAGGTGGCATAAACAGGAGGAGGGAAACCATTTAAAATAGGAAAAGACGATGTTCAACGTTCACATTTGTATGACAGTCTTAAGTTTTGCTGTTAAACACATTGTTTGCCAGTGATACCAAATTGGAAGGAGTTGTTGACTCCCTTGAAGGAAGAGAGGCCCTACAGAGAGACCAGGACAATTGGAGGGCTGGGAAATCACTAAGTGTATGAGGTTTAACAAAGACAAGTGCTGGATTCTGCACCTGGGGTGGGTCAATCCTAGATGTACATACAGACTGGGGAACGAGAGACTGGAGAGCAGCACTGCAGAAAGGGACTTGGGGGGTCCTGATCGATGGCAAGTTGAATATGAGTCAGCCAGGAGGGCCAACTGTGTCCTGGGGACATCAGGCAAAGCATCGCCAACTGGTCGAGGGAGGTGATTTTCCCACTCTGCTCTGCACTGGTGAGGCCTCACCTTGAATATTGTGTGCAGTTTGGGGAGCCACAATATAGGAAAGATATAAAGCTATTAGAGAGCATCCAAAGGAGGGCAATGAAGATGGTGAAGGGGCCTGAGGGGAAGCAGATCAGGAGCAGCTGAAGTCACTTGGTCTGTTCAGCCTGAAGGAGAAGAGACTGAGGAGAGGCCGCATGGCAGTCTACAACTTCCTTGTGAAGGGAAGAGGAGGGGCAGGTACTGATCTCTGTGGTGACCAGTGACAGGACCTGAGGGAATGTCATGAAACTATGTCAGGGGAGGTTTAGGTTGGATACTAGGAAAAGATTTTTCACCCAGAGGGTGGCTGGGCACTGGAACAGGCTCCCCAGGGAAGTGGTCACAGCACCAAGCCTGATAGAGTTCAAGAAGCATTTGGACAATACTCTCAGGCACATAGTGTGGTTCTTGAGGCTATCCTGTGCAGGGCCAGGAGTTGGACTTCAGTGATCCTTGTGGATTCCTTCTAACTGAGGATATTCTATGACTACCTTGCTCTGACAAAACTGTATCTGTTTGTTGACTACTAGAGCTAATTAGAGCAATGATCATATGATAACTGCTGGCTATTTTCAAATGCTTTGAATCCTCTCATATTAAAAGATACTTCCTCCAGAAACTGTCTTGGGGTAGACACACTATCAGAGAAACATCTGATTACAGATCTAGTCGCATTTCTCAAAAGGAAAAACCCTAGAAATGAGACCAAGTATCAAAAACAAAATGGAAAAATGTATTGTGTACAAGTTTGTCAACTTGAAGTTTAAAAAAATATAATTATACTGATAAAAAAATATAACACTTTACATTGAGAAACCGACTGCTCTCACCTGTGCTGAATACTGGATTTCCTTAGCCTGAAGCTGGACGTGCATGACAATCGCAAAATATTTTCCAGTCCTAAGGAAACTTCTGCTTTTATAGGTATGATTAATGTGTGCAAGGGCAATTGAGATTCCCTTCACTTTGGATGTTGGGATGTGGATGAGTTAAACCTGTAGAAGCATTTGCAATTTAATTTTTTTTCAGGCTAGCAGCTCTGACAGTTGACATTTATAAATTTGTTCCTCAGAGTGTGGGAGGAGGGGAGAAATGTTTTGCAGACAGAAACCATGATGGGAAGTCCAGACTTTCCTTCAGCTCTGAAGGGAAGTTTGTTATTTCTCTGTGTCCTCACTGAAAGTCATCTTCAGTGTTAGGTTTTGGTTAGTAAATATCGTAAGGAAAATGAGTCAAGCTCACTTTTTCCTCATAAAGCAGAAAGAAAGAGATGGACTGTGTCAGTTAACCAGTAAAACTGGGTGCTTGAAATCCTCAAGCATTGATTACAGCTATCAGAAACTGTCTTTTGCCATGATAAAAGTTGACCACACCATTTAATTTAGTTTAATTAACTTTAATTTAGAAGAGCTAATTACCAATTCTGTCATGGCTTTTAAATTTCATATAGTGTTTTTTGGCAATGTCACCCTCATTTTTTTCCTTTTATATTCTATTGAAATGCTTAGGTTTGATCATCACTCTTTTTGAAAACTAAGCTTTTATTGCTGGAGAGTATTAACAAAATAATATGTATTCATGTTGGCTCTTACTGAGACTTCCTTCACATGTCCAACCCACATAATAGAGCAGGGGGCTCAGTCTGAACAGGTTATTTACCATGTGAAATTTGAACTATGGAAAACAAATTTCATTGAGGAAATACATAGATTTGGGGGTTTTGTTTCTTTTTTAAAGCAACAAATTGAATTGCACACTTCACCCAGAAACCTGACCTGAATCTCTGCCAGCAAACTTAAAACAGTTTAGACCTGAAATACTTATTTCACATTTTGTGTGAACTGTAGCAAGTGTCAACTCAAGTAGCATTTACATTGCACAATTCTTCACAAGCAGGAATGTTAATTGTAAACCTAATATTATGTCATCAAAAACTGAATGTTTAAATGTCAGTTAAAAATGGAGCCATGTCAGTTCTCAGAATTAAAAATAGATTCCTTAATTTTCTCTTTGTAGATAATTGAGATGCTGTGTTCATTACTTGAGACAGTTGTTAAATGCAGAATCTTGTATAACTGCATACTCAAACCAGTGACCAGTGACAGCTTTTAAAGGCCATGAAGTTAAACATGTGGCTACATCAGCAGGTTCCTGTGGGGTAACCTACAGAGTGCATTACCTCTGGTTAGCTACTAGCACAGTGCCTGCTGACATGCTCACTGTTACCCCACAGTGAGTGTGAGGTTCACTTCCACAAGGGGAGTACATAGACAGCTCCTCTGAAGGCTAAGGAACCAAAAGGGCAATATGTAGTAATCATGCCAGAAGCACTGTGCCTTCAGAAAAGCATAAAAGGGAGATAACCCTTGGTGGTTACGAAGTGCATTGTGACATGGGGTGTTTTTTTGTTTGGATAGGTGGATTTGGCTGGGGGGTTTTTTGTACTTTGTGGAACTGCACTGCTATGCAGACTAGGATCTGAATATGAAGAATTTTATCCATTCTTGGGCCTTCCTGTGGCTCTGGCTCTCTGTCTACCAGGGAAAACCCAGGAGTAGAAGATGCTTCTCCTTGTGGTTGACTCTGATAGTGTCTTATGTGCAGATGAGGAAGGTCAGTTAAGAAGAATATAGAATTATGAGAAATCAGTTGACATGATAGACAGGGGTAGAAGGATGGAAAAAGTACTGATTTGCGTCGGTACCAAAAATGAGGAAACAATGCCTTACCAATGACAAGAGGAATTTATACTGTACTTTATGAGTAGGTAATTCTCCATGCAACAGTGTTAAACTGGGCAGCATACCAGCTCCTAGGGAATTAAAAGGTTGATAACATGAATGGTGGAGGAAAAAAACAACACATTCTCCCAAGGTTGTGAACTATGTTGTGGCTTATATGTCAGCATCAGTGGCAGTATAACACTATTTAAACTGCCATTGATTCTGGATGTTTTAAGAGATATAATAAGAAGACGACCTGGAATAAAAATAAAGAGAGTGGAAGGTGCTAACAAAGTGGTACCAGCAGCTCACAAATTGAGGAAAAAGATTTTTCTTTCCAAGTTTCATTTTTTTGACTAAATGACACACAAAACTAAGTAGTTCTAAATTGATCACATGCTTATAAATAAATAATCTAATTTAGTGTAAAATACACTTTAATTAACATACCAGCAGTAATTCAAGTGTTTTTCTTTGGTTCTCTTTTTTTTATTGATTTTTTTTAAAACTCTCTTTCCTGCCAAGTTAAGTGACTGACTCCTTCTGCTTTAACTTCATTAATTTTAGAATTGTTGTCTTTCCATATGTGCAATCTCTAATGGATGGAGTTGGTATGGTTTTACAGTCTATATATCTGGTAGTATTGCAACCTGAACTGGAGCATCTCTCTTTTGAGGAAAGGTTGAGGGAGCTTCAGCCTTGAGAAGAGACAACTGAGATGGGACCTCATCGATGTCTTTAAGTACCTGAAGGGAGGGTGTCAGGAGGATGGAACGAGGCTCTTCTCGGTGGGGCTGAGCAATAGGACAAGAGGCAATGAACAGAAACTGACACACAGGAAGTTCCACCTGAATATGAGGAAGAACTTCTTTACTGTGTGACTGTGCTGCCCAGAGAGGTCATGAAGTCTCCCTCACTGGAGATATTCAGGAACTGTCTGGACACAATCCTGTGCAATGTGCTCTAGGATGATCCTGCTTGAGCAGGGATGTAGGACCACATGACTCACTGTGGTCCCTTCTAACCTTACTGGTTCTGTGGTTATACATTTCTGATTCAAGGTGCTTCTTTCCTACCTGTCTTGAAGTAAAGTGACTTCTGTCTGTACCTGTCTGGTTGTGTGTGTTTCCATCTAAGAAACTCAATGCAACTCCACTCCAATGACTTTTTTATCCTTCACATCTTATGTGGTGTATATTTGGTGCCTAAAATACCACCAAACCTTAGATAAGGCCTGTGAATTCCAAGTCCTTGTTGCAATTTGTGATTTAAATGCAGCATTATCCCAACATGTCCATTCCAGAATTTATGATCTGAGATACCATTATCTTGAATCTGCTTTGTATAAGATATTACTAAACTACACTTGAATTTATGTGTTCTGGAATGTTTCCTTCAAACCTCTACAGCTTTGTTAGAGGAAAATGAATTTCAAGAAAACATCATAAAAATGGGTGGTTCATAAAACTTTCAAAAATTTAAAAAAAAATTTCAAAAATTACTCAAATTCTTAAAATTTCAAAAATTATTCAAACAAGTACTATTTCTGTTAACCTTTCCATGCAAATACTTGGCTGGCACATCTAATTAAAAACACTGCATTGTGAAGGGAGAGTCAGGTTTTTTAATTTCACAGCAACAAATTGTTACCAGTTCTAGTTCTGTTTTGTGGATGAAATTCAGTTATTCTCAAACAAAATGCTTGCTTCTCCTGCCCTAATGCTGAATGCTGGTTGAAGTATGCAGGTGTAATTTAACTTTTTTTGTAACATTAATTTCTTTAAACTGGCTAACATTGCTCTTTAAGTAACACTAGCTTATTTTGTTCCAATTTTTTATAAGAAAAATAATTAACTGTGGGAGAAAACTGAAAACTAAAACAGGTCTTCCACAATAATACAGGTACTGCAGATATCTGTTAGTTAAAAACAAAAAATGCCCAGGCAAACTCAAATAAAATTGAAAACTGGTGGATGTAAGTAAGCCTATAAGCCTGGATTATGTTTCTTTTCCCTCATATTATGTGCCTGACAAGACACGGTGTTTCAAAATCCTCTGTTTACGTGTTTATGGGGAGCTGCTTAATAACTCTTTGCACCTCAGTGGAGAACTGTGGTGCTCAGGTGACAACTGCAGTTTACCCTCTGGTGATGTTCTGACAAGACTTCTGCTGTCTTGCTTTAAAGGTCTATCCAGATAAAACTGTCTTGAATCTCTTTACTCAGCTGTGACTTATGGCCTAATTTGAGGGGGGAAAAAAAATACAGCAACCCACCCTTTGACTTCAAATATGTTGTTGGGTGTATCACATCCTTTCTAAAGCTGTTCTACCAAAGTTGCAGTAAAACCCAGATTTGTTTATAAGCTAACAGCACTTGTATCTCTTAAACCTTTGGTTTGTGTCTTACCTGTATTAATGACCAAAAAGAGCATTCAGTTTTCCTGGGGAATTTTTCTTTTTGTTTTTTTTTTTCAGTGTGTGCCGAGAATATTTTCAGAATGGTGGAAAAAGAAAAGCACTTGAGAAAGATGAAAAAAGAGCCCTTCTTGCTTCTAAGACCACTCCAGCTTTAAATGTTCCTCAGACTCCCAAGATTGAAGATCCTTTGCCAAACTTTGGTTTGACAAATCATGAAACTATGACAGAAGAGTAAGTTTTATTTGTTTTCCAGACTTTTTCTCCCTTTTTCAGTTTTAAAATTTACCCTGACATTTCTTCCCTGTAACTCATTAGATCAGTCGGATGTGTTTTTAATAGTTAAGAAAGGGCATTTTCATGTGAATATATACATTTCAAGAAATTCTTATGTTGTAGTATATTTCGGTGGATGCCATAAAAAAAATTGCTTGAGAATGACAACTTAGTCATCTTCATTTAAGTGCTAGAGGAGTTTCACTTTAGTATGTCATTGGTGTGCAATGCAATTTATATTAAACCTTGAGGTGAAATAAGGGAGATGTTAATTAAGTTAGAATCTAATGGCTGTTCAGCACTGTTGAAAAGTCAATTGCTTATGTAAGTACTAAGTGCCAAATGTAAATATCAGAGTACTTAAAACTTTCTCTTCATAAATAATTGCAGAGAAACTCTTGATTCCAATTATATACTTCAAAAGCAATTTTGAATTACAACACTTAACTTTTAATGTGCTAGCTTTCTGATGACTGGCTCTGCAAAAGTTGTAGTATCCTTGAGGTATTTTCCTAACAACAGTTTTAATTTTGTTTGTGACCTTCACTCAAGTAAGAATTTTATTTTTGGCGTTCAGGACTAACTATATTATTTTAGTGAAGTCTCACCCTTGGTTTTTTTTCCCTAAATAACATGGGTCATGTTTGTGGCTATTCCATGAGTGATGGGAAAAAAAATCATATTTTGCAAATACAACAAAATAATGAAAGCATAAGCATAGAGTCTGTATATGGTACACTTATGACCTGTTTTATATTCTTTATAGACCAGTTCTTAGAACTGCCTGCAGTATTGTTTTTTGTTCTGTTGTGTAGAGATTTTTTTTTCTCATTATTGTAGCATGTCTTCTGTGATCAGCACTTACTAAGTTAGATGTAGTATCAGCTACGAAAAAAATGAACAAGTTAATGTTATTAGCACATGTTTGTACTTAGGAACTGGTATTTTTTGTGTCTCTCATGTTTGTTTAAATCAATAGGTTCGATGACCATACACAACTTAAAGATTTTCTGTCGTAGGTGGGAGGCATTGTCAAAAAGCATTAACGCTCTCTTTGCATGTACTCTGTCTTCATACTTTCTACAGTTAGTAGTGACTGTTGCAGAGCTAACTTCATCTGAGTTCCTTCTTGCTACAAGTGGTTTGTAGCCTTCCCTTTTGTTCTGACTTGTGTGTATAGAAAGTAGTTAATAGAGAAATTTTATAAATTATTTTAAAAGTACTTGTTAATACAGTGAGTGATGATTATTTTTATTTTCATTCTTAAAACTTTAAAAATATATACACCCATAAAGACATTCCTGGCAAAGGCAAGTTTTATAATACCCGAGTAAGCAACAGATGATAGTAAGGTTTTTAGTAGCTGTACAGACCTTAAATCAGTGAGGCATAACTGGTCTAATCTACATTCCGATCGTGTAATGCTACAAATAGGAGTTGTGAGTTTGTCTATAGTAATGACTAAGTCTGTGAGTCTTTTTACTCTGGTAAGTGTAAAGACAATAATTTTGTTCCTCCCATATATAATCCTCTCTCAAGTAGTATTAAAACCAGGTAGGAACTCTTTCTGAACTTACCTGTACTGGCAAGTTATTATAGATAGACTGTCCTGTACTTGGTAAGGAGCAAAGCTAGCTTGGTAATAAAAGTTCAATGGCTAGTAAAAAAGATGCTGGGAGAAGTGGAGAGAAGTAGGCACTCAGGCACTTAGCTCTTAAAGGTGATGGTGGGAAATATTGTAGGAACCAGAAATGCAAAGTTTGCTGTAGATCAGAAAACCAGTCAGCTACTTTGATGAACCCAATTCCAGTTGCTCAGGTTGCTCACCTCTGCCAGAATGAAATTGATGAGTCTCTCAGAAATAACTAATGTGAGCAGTCCTTGTTTTTTACTTTTATTTATATGAAAAGTAATGTATTATCCACAGTTATTATCCTTCCATCCAAGAATGAGTTCTCTACATGTAATTATAGACGTTTTAATGTCTCTAACATTACAACTGCATCTGTTGTGAAGCTGGGCATCAAAGTGACTCAGTCCTGCAAGATAAAAGTGGCTGTTGTCTGCTGGTTAACAGCTCCTCCCTTCAATAAATAAGGCACTCCCTTGTTTTCTTTTTGAGTATTGTTTCTCTTCTTCTTCTATCAAATTAAGCAGTCTTGCTTTTTGTGTGGTTTCTTCTGAGATGCTGATTTGACCTCTGATGATACAACCTATCATTCCTTCTTTCATGTGTGTCTCAGCAAGATAGACCTTCCCATTGGACATCTTTATATGTGGATGTTATGAAAGATTTGAGGCCTACGAGTGTTACCAGTCAGAACCAGATGTACATCTTGGTTCTGCTCTTCTGGCAGCATCATAGGCCTTCTTAACTGTTTCCCCATCCCATCCTTGATAAATAGTAGAGTAACTTAAAACTTTAAAGTAGGACATCAGCACTTGAAGTGAATTGTTTCAGAGATAGGTAACTTTTCTTATGGTCATGTAACTGTTCTCTTTTTATCTATTTCAAAGATAAAATGTTACTTACCTGTACTTAGCACCTAGTTGAATAATAGATACATTTTTAAGTGGGCTAATAATCAAGAGCTGCAGTCCCTTCATTAAGTTAGAATCATAGATCTGTTTGGTTTGGATAGGACCTTAAACATCATCTAGTTCCCATCACCCTGCCATGGGCAGGGACAAGTTCTTAAACTGAACAAGTGTGGGAATGTATTTAAAATGCACTCCTTTTCCGGGTTATGTCCCCTTCTTTACCAGTTTCTGATGTTTAACTGTTCACATTTTGGTTTTCTGTCTGCACATTACTACCTACAGAACTTTGAATTCAAGATACGTTTGGAGTTTGCTTACAGTGGCAAAGTACTTCCCATGTTTTTAATGTTGTCTTGACTGAAAATCATTAGGAAACAGGACACTGAAGAGTGATTAACAATGAATTCAGCAAGAGTACATTTCTAAGTCAGTGGCTCATGGTGGTCAGTGATTGTCATGTAGATTACACTTACAGTTTCACTGAGGAATCTGAGTTAAGAGTTACAGTTCTGAAAAGTTAGGTATCTGAACTAGCGATCTTCAGACCACTCCAGTCAGTGGTCCTTGCTCTTTGTGTATGTTTGGTAACAGGATCTAAGTGCTTCTTAAGAGCTTCAAAATTATTTCAATTGCCTAACTAGTATCCTATTCCTACTGATAACTGACAATCTGAGGATTGCTACTAAGTGATTCACTGTACCACTATTCCAAGAGGCAGCAAAACCTGACAAGCAGTAAGAAGTCAAGATACAAGAGAGCATCTGAAGCTGCTATTTTTGTGGTTTCAAAGTATATTTGTATTAAACACAGACTACAGGACTCCTTAGATGTGACACACTTATCAGAATGCATTTGCCCTGTATCAAATGTCTTAGTTGTCCATTAGTGGTAGATAAGAGTTTCTGACTTCTGCTTAGTTCGGAATACAGAGTTGTAGGTTTCCAGAAATGTGCTCCAATGCTTTACTAGTGTGAAGTAGTGTCCCCCTTTAAGCAGTCAAAAATAATGCTGCAGCAAAGAATGCAGGTTTTGTAAATACAAAGACAGAATACGTCATCATGATTTTTTTTTGCTCTACCATAGGTGAAGTGGGCTCTTTTGGAAATTAGACAGTTCTGAACTGTGTGGCTTAATTTTGGTCTCTACAAGTATTTCATTGAATGCTTTAAAGGAAAATGTTTAGATCTCTGGAGTCTGTCTCTCCTTTTTATGGGAAGTTTTCTCTGCATAGTAGAGTCATATTCTCTCGTTACATTTGCTATGGTCCCAGGTGTCTGTTGATTTGTTGTTACCGTATTGGATTCTCATACAGAGCAGAAGCATATAAAGGCATACGTTTTCATGTTTGAATGGGTGAGAATCTGCCATTACTGTCTCCATATGCTAGACAACATGGGAGATAAGAGTTCTTTGCAGGGAGTGTCAGGAAGAAGAGCAGTGACTTTGCAGAAAATGCAAAAAGCCATTTTAAGATATGTTTAAACAACATTAAAAACTTCTGTTTCTATAAAATTTGAGCTATTTTCTTCTTTTTCTTCACCAGTCCATCTTTGACAGGACTTTTTCCATCCTTCATATGGTAAATCCATTGCCACAAGACAAGGAGATATGCTGAAAGACACTACACTTGACCTCAGTCCACATTTGTGATTTATGGCCACTAGGATCTGCCTTAACACTATGCAAATTCCTATTACACAGATTACAATGTTATTGTCATCAAAGCTTGGAAACATTGCTGTCATCTTCATTCTGAAATCACACTCAATACTAACTTACAGAGTAGCTTGGTAATGTTTGTAGTTTTAATTTAAAGATAATTGTTGCATTGTTTGCCTTGGTTGTGGTGGTATTTCAAGAGAAGTAAGTCCTGGATATCTTCTCTTCCATACAGAAGCAAAATACTTAAACTTGGCATTATTTATTATTCTGTCAAATGCAACAAAATGTTTTCTCTTGCTTCTCCAACATCCTCTCTCTGGGAGGTGACTGGGAGTCTGGAAGGAGCCCAGAGAGCCTAGATCTCTTTATTGCTGCTTAAAGGCTTTTTTTTCCTGAAGTATTCCTTACTGTTCTGTTGTTGCTATGAGTACCGCCGTGGCTTGGTTGGACTCCATTGGCAGATCTGTTTCTGAAAGTTTTTTGCAGTTATCTATCTCTCTAGGGCTGAGTCTTTCCCAGAAGCATGACAAGTGATATTTTGGAGATGCCAGTTGGTTTTGGCTACAGACACTTGAAGCAAAATAATAACATTTGCTTACTGGAAAGTTTATTACCATTCTCTTCTCCGTGAAGTCCCTGTGAAAGCTGTGACTTTGTTTGCCTCTATTAATGGAGTTTGGATGTTCCAGTATGTTACAAATCATCATGGAAATTTTTTAAATGCAGCCCTGTAAATGATCCAATAGAAAGAGCTCAAACTGTCGGGTGGTAGTAGTGCTGTATAAATTCTTCTCTTTTTTTATTTTTTTTTTTTAAATTGTGTGGATGCAGTCATCAAGTTGTGCTTTATAGAACAGGTGGGTGTAGAGTCTGTACATGTGGACTGGAACAGAATTGTTTAACTCCAGCATTTAGTGGTTTTTTGCAATAGCAAAGAAAGAATAAGCATCAGGGATCTCTAAATTCAGAATGCGAGGAAACTAAAAAATATGTCTTTGATTGTAGGATATGTAGCAACTGAGTCCTTAATATTCATGATAACTGAGTGCAACATTCTAATTCTAATTGTAATTCTTCCAAGAGTGCAGCATATCAGGTTAGATAAGTACCAGGACAATGCAGAACCTTTAAATGATGACAAGACAGCTGATTGCCAGTACTTCTGTACAGGTGCATTGATGTTACCTGATGCTACATTATATATGGTAGTAACTGCCTTAGTCATGAAAAAAAAATGCCTGTTGTTGCAAACTTGAAGACTACGAATGTTACTCTGGGCATTGGTAAAGGAGGCTGTCCTTTAGAAGGTAAGAATGCTTTCAGAGGTAAGTCAGTAGTCACTATCCTCAAAAGTTGCCACGCATCTTTTTTTTTCTCTTCTTAAACTATGTATTTAGCTTCAAGAAAAGAACAATGATGTCTTTTATCTTCATAACAGCATTTCAGATTGGTTTTGGGTTGGGTCATAGGTGACATCAGAGCTTCCAAAGAAAAGGCAAATCTCCTTTGCCAGCCTGTAGCATATCTTCTGCTGTGCTGTAATGGGGGCTTCTACCAGACAGTAGAATGTCCTCTCTTTGTTTCTTCAGTCTGCTGTTTTCTTTCCGATCACCCACTCCACTCTGTTTTTTAACTCAGTAAGTTTTTGCATCTGTTTGAGAAGATGACGGGCCAGTTATTCAGTGTGCGGTTTTGGTTTGTTGTTTTTCATTTCCCATGAAGTTTTGAAAGGGTTTGTGTGCATCTCTGGAACAGCATTGTCTATTAAAGTGTCTTTAGCAGTATGTCAAACTCTTTCTATCAGTCTAAGCAGTAAGTAATGAAGTCATAATTTCTCAAGTTATTTCCCCACCACCACCTTTTTTTTTTTACCTCTGTTGTTTGATAGCATAGTTAAGTATTTAGCATTACAGATATTGGCCTTCTTATCTATAATTTCACCTTGAATATGGTCATCACACAGTGGCAGATGTTCTCCAGAGTTCTTACAGGATAACTCTTCATTTTTGAGTAGTTCAGAAGTACTCTGATTTAGAACCCTCTTTCCCAAACTAGATGGCTGCTTTTGACTGTTTCTCATTAAAAAGCTTTTGGATTCTCAAAACGAAAATTGATTGCATGGCATGGAATAGACTTTTGTTGCACCTAGTAGTTTTGAGGAGATACTTCATTTCATTTAAATGTTTAGAATAACTTCCCTACAACTTGAACAGCTGTTTTTTATGTTTGTGACTCTGCATGGACTGATCTAGCTCTTTCACAGCATCCGTTGGGAACGGAATTGGAGTGAACCTTCAGCAGTCATCCATTAAAGAAAATGTTAGCTAACATAAAGCAAATAAAAGATTGTTTTAAATTTGCAAGGAATAACTAAAGGCTTTTGTTTATAGTTGTTGGGTTTTTTACCTTGGAATGTGTTTTCTTGTCTTCATTAAACCAATGATGCCACTTGACTTCAGTTGCCCTTTAAAATGGAACTGTCAACTACATAGTTCATAGCGTTGCCAGTTTCCCTTTTCAACTCCTGCAGTTTTAACTGTGGTGTCTAGTGTGACTTCAACACCAATAAATACCACAAAGAAGGTAAGTGGGAAACACAAAGCAATAAGAGAAAGCCTGTCTAGTGGACACACAATTTACCTTTTTATTTACTTACTTACTCCAAGTACACAAGTTAATAATATCACAGCTGTTCTGAACAAGACTCTTCTGATTGAGCACCAACTGCTTTTATTGAAGGAGCTTGGTTCTTTAGGTATCTCAGCAATTGAAGTGAGACATTCACTTCTATTAGTCACTACTGTGGTGTTCTGTGAGACTTTTTTTGCATTAGCTATCTGAAATTGTAATTCAGAATATAGTTTTAAAAATAACACTGGATAAAACTGAATTCTTGCTGCTTCTTAGGTTCCTTCACTCCTTGGGAAAGATCAGATTACTTGATGTTGGTAGCTGCTTTAATCCATTTCTGAAGTTTGAAGAATTTCTGACGGTTGGCATAGACATTGTTCCAGCTGTTGAGGTATGTAATGTTTGCTGAATTTATTATAAATTTGATTCTCATATTTTTAGAATGTCTCAAAATTACTATGAAAAAAGTATTTTTAATACTTAAGTATGTTTTCTAAATATCTGTGCCATAATAAGAACTGTGGCACTCCTACTACATCCTTTCCCATGAACAGGCTCTAAACCCTAGTTGTGTTTTCTTTTAAAAATATTATATTTTCAAGAGCTATGCCTTTATAATGGCATGATTAATCTTAAAATTGGAAAATTTTAGTAGCCATCTTTTTTTAATGGTATTTCAGATAAGTCCTTGCATCTTAAAAGGCATAAATAAAACTTAAGTAGACTTATGCTTAGGCAAGAACCTCTCAGAAGTTGCATTCACTGACAGAAGGAAATGATCAGTGACTGTATTTAGTGAGTTTTTGTGGGGAGCTTTAGTAATCAGAAGTGCACTATAAGGGACCATTTCTGTTTATTGCTAGTAATATTATTGAACTTCCACAATCCAGAGGACAAATTAATCAGCACATATGGGATATGTTGCTTCATTTTCTCTAGGTAGTAAGGTTTTCAAATGCATTAATTCTGCTGTAATCATATGTTCTTTCTGTCTTCTGCTCTCGATCCAACTTTTGTCAGCGCTAATCACATTTATCAACCAAGCAAAATGATGAAGTGGAATAAAAATGAAAAAGACACAGAAATACATTTCTGACAGAAAACAGAAAAGCCTTTGACCACTTACAGTTTAAAATCAGGCTCTGTTATAATCTGTGGCCTAAGGTAATCCTCTTTAGAAGTGGAGAGGTGAGAAGAAGTGTACAAATAAAATAACAGTTACCTTGAAAGCCGTGTTCTCATATTTGCTGCAGTGTGGTTTACATGTGTAATGTGTGGTATTTTGTTGTGACTACCACGTTTAGTCCCCTAACACTTAACTTGTATTTGTGTATATGCTTAGAAATACTGAAAGATATTCTTTAAAAATCTGAGTCTGATTAATTGCTTTTAAAAGCAATTCAGTATTAGTTTAATGTAAAACACAACCTTCAAGTGGACTCCATCTTGCCCAATTAGAAAAATAGGCATCAGTTGCCCAAACATTGTTGCCTTCCACCACTTCAGAGGCTGTAGGACATCTGCATAGGGCTGTTGGGCATGGCACAGCATGTAAAAGAGACACAGGCCACTGAAATGGCCGCCACTGGCATCCAAAATGGTAATACATGCATGGCAAGTGAATTTCCAGCTAAGATACATAGATCCTCAGTGTCTACATCTCAAGTTCTGAGTTCTTATTACAGTCAGTGGAGTTCTGTTAAAAATAGTGAAAGCTAAATGTCTGCTGTTTGGTGGTGAGATGAATTGGATTTTGTATTGACTAGTTCTCCAGTGACTATAATGGGAGCCTAGGCACCTAAAATTATATCGGTTGAACCTAACTATTAATTTTTGGGTATGCATAGTTAGTATTTTTCTATCTAGTCTATTGTTCTGTTTTCATAAGAAAGCTGCATTTTTTTTTCATGAAAATCAATTTAAATATACAGTGACCAAAGCCATTGTTGGAAAAGGCTCAGAAAGGTAACTTCTGTGGAGTTAATGGAGGAACATACACAATTTCTGTGTACTAACCAGTTCTTTAGACTCTTTCCCAGTACAAGGGAATGATAATTGATTTCTTGTCATCTGACATAGTACCATAGCTTCATGACAGGAGCTTCTCAGAGTGCGACTGTACGTGTAGCTACACATGTATTTACTGTGAGGCCTGTCTCAGGCTGACTGACTTATTCCATTGTTTTGGGTACTTTGGCCTGTTCAGGGCACCTTGAAACCTAGTAGCAAGTGTTCTTGGAGTGCCATGGAGTACAGTTTGCAGAGTCAAATGCATGTGCTAGAATAAGTTTAGGCCTACCTCCAAAACAGAATTAATAAGCCCTGATATTTTGAAGATGACTCTACTATGAGCTGCATCAGCACCGTAACCTCCTGAATAAATTTATTTTTAGGCCAGCAGTTGCGTGGGCTGATTTAAGATTTTTGGAATAATAGCCAGAGGTTTGTTATGGTAGTTACTATCATCTTTGACCTGAAAAATTGATCTGATAACTTGTGGTAGAAGCTGAGAATAGAAGAACTGGTAACATTTTCTGATTTAGCAGATCTCTTAGGCAAGGTGCCAAAGTACTCTTTGAAACATGTATAAGTACAGAGCCTTCTTACAGAGTCAGTGTCTTGAATAATATTGTGTAGAGGGTTAAATAATTCCTTCTTTAATAAAAGTAAATTAATCCACTTTCTGCATATAGAAATGCTTTGGATATAGGTTAAGTAGTTGAGTAAAATAATTCAGTTAATTTGAGGAATAAGAAGGATATAATTGTGGAAATACTAGGAGAGGAAGTAGAATGTTAGTTACATAGCAAATGGATTAATGTCTTCAAAATGTTAGAATTCTTTTGTGTACAAAGAATGTAAACTGTAGATACATGAATATGAAAATATATTTCCATTAAAAGGTTTTGAGTTTTGAGAGAGAGCGGGGAACTGCACCAAGAAAAGATTGGTATTTCCTTTAGCTAGCCAGTGTGTTCCCATTTCCAGTGTCTTGGTGTAAGGTACACTGAGAAACTGAGAGGAGGGAAACTGAGGCTGGGGTAATCTGACACAGTCCAGAGTCTTTCTTGGCTACTCCTTCAAACATTTTGCCTAAAACACAGATAGTCCAGAATCAGTTGTTGTTTTCTTAGAGGAGTTTAATTTATCTACCAAAAACCAAAAAACTTTCATACTGCTGCAAAACATGCTGAACATGCAGCAGATGTTGTATTGGAGTAAGTACAGTCTGAGACAAAGAAAAAAAAAAAAGAGTTTGGAAGGGTACTGGAATTAAAAATTAGAATATATATATAAATGATCCTTGAAGGTCCCTTCCAACTCAGAATATTTTTTGAAATATCTGTGAAAATTATTCACATAAGTAGGATTGTGTTCCTAAATGTCAGTGAGATATGAGTGCTGTTTGAGTATCTGTGAGGACTTCAACATCAATTCAAGACTTCCCTATCTAGAGTTTAGTAGCAAACTCCAGTTTAGTGGCATTTTTGTCCTAAAACTGCCTACAGAATTCTGAGTCCACTTGAAACATGCTTCAGTCCTGAAATTGTCTTTAACATTATTTCTGCATAACTGCTTTGTGAGTATTTCTCCACTACTCAGAAGTACTTGCAGTCTAAATTATTGTTCAGCTGTATTTGTGTAACTAACTGTATTTGTGTAACTAACTTCTTAAGTCTTTTAAGTTTTGAAGTTCTAAGTAAAGTTAGCATGTCCCTCTGAACAATTAGTTTTCAAAATGCTTCTTTTAAAACTTAATAGAGGATATCATGAAATTGCTACTGTTAATTTCCTATTCTAAGTATTACAAGGAAATGTAATACAGCTCTGCAGGTATAATGATTGCAATTAAAATTTCTTGGTTGTAGTCACATAATGCAAATCTTTTTCTTGTTTTTTTTGCGTATTGAAGGCCAAGATTAAAGCTCGTGAAATATAAATCTCCAATTTTTTTGAACATTGATTACTTTTTCTAATTTTCTGCTCACTCTCAGAAGAGATTGTGATTTTTATATAACCAAATTACATTTTTTCTTTTTATAAAGAAATTACATTATCTTGTACTTGGAAACAATTGTGCATATCAGTTCCTTAATGAACACCTTTGCAATAGTGTTCTAGGGATCTTGTTTTAATGTTGTTTCATAAAACACACTACAAATATTTTCATGGTATTAAAATGCAGCAGGTGTAACCTTTCAGATGTGCTCCGCACAGTGTTTTGTGTCTGCTTACACATTCACTTACCTGTTTAGTGTAATTCACTACACATTCTCTAGGCATTAATAACAATTTTTGTTCCTATCAGATCAAAACTTTGTATCTTCATGCATTTTAATACATTTTTTATGAAAAGTTAGTCCCAGGTTTTGATGACTTAAATTAAGTCAAAACTTAAATTCACTAAATAGCATGCTTATATTTTTGAATGCTTTGTGATTAAGGATGCTAAGAATTTACTCTTCTGTATGTTGTATTGTACTGTCATTTCCTATGTTTGACAGCTTGAGTGTACAATGATTTGTAGTCCTTACCTTATTTTGATAATTGCCCAAATGTTTACCACTTCACTTTGTATTTACAGCAAAGTTAAAACATGTACCTACATGTACCTACAGAACCTAAAGTTCTGTAACTTTATCATGAATATTGCCTCACCATTCTTTGTTTCTGTACTAGTAAAGAATGACACTTTTTTTCCAAGTGACCAAACTACTGAGTTGCTTGGATTCTTTTTAAAGAACTGGTAGAAATACTGAAGTCTCAAATTTAGTTTCTAATTACTCATTTCAGGTTTATAAAAGCCTATAAAAGGCTTTCAGCACCTGGGGAAAAAAAGGCAATATAGGCTTATCTGAGTTCTTAAATCATTTGTGAGATAGCTGAATTGATACTTTTTCTATTTGGGCTAAATTTTTTTTTTATATTAACAGTTCTCAGCTATCAAATCTCTAGTAAAATACTGCACATCTAAAATTTTGCATGTGTGTTACATTTTTCTTTTAGATTGCTTGATTTAATAGCAAGAGGAATGTTCAGCAGGCTTGACATTTCCTCAAGGGAACTGAGAGGTCATTGATTTTTCTGTGGGTCTTGGTTGTATTTGCTCTTTAAACTAACCTTGGTGCTTGGTTTTCTGTTTTTGTTATTCCACCAGAGCGTATACAAATGTGACTTCCTAAATCTTCAAATTCAGCAACCTCTCCAACTGGCACAAGATGCTATAGATGCCTTTCTTAAGCAACTGAAAAATCCCATTGATTCTCTACCTGGAGAGCTGTTCCATGTCGTCGTTTTCTCACTCCTCCTTTCTTACTTTCCATCACCCTATCAACGATGGATATGCTGCAAGAAGGCACATGAACTTCTCGTATTAAATGGCTTATTGCTTGTAATAACTCCTGATTCGTCTCACCAGAATCGCCGGGCTATGATGATGAAAAGCTGGAAAATTGCCATAGAGTCCTTGGGTTTTAAACGCTTCAAGTATTCTAAGTTTTCTCACATGCACCTGATGGCGTTTAGAAAAACTTCCCTGCAAACAACCAGTGACTTAGTTAGCAGGAACTACCCAGGAATGTTGTATATCCCACAGGATTTCAACAGTATAGAGGATGAGGAGTATTCCAACACTTCCTGCTATGTTCGGTCAGATACAGAAGATGAACAGCTAGCTTACGGTTTTATGGAGCTGCCTGATGCTCCCTATGACTCAGACTCTGGAGAAAGCCAGTCTAGTTCAATTCCTTTCTATGAGCTAGAAGATCCTATATTGCTTCTAAGTTAATGTAGTTGTTGAAATGCCCTTTCAAACCTCTTGCTTAACTAATTTTGCTATACTAACATGGGCTCAACACACAAAAATGGTTTGCATAAAGAAAATGCAAAGGTTTACAGAGTTTGCTATTTTTTTCTACTTTTGAATTTTAAAATTTATTCTTGTATGAAAGTGAAAAAATACAAGTTTTATGCAAATGACTCATGTCATAGCATAAATTGCTGTTACTTTCTTTAGATTTGTATCACTAATTTTTTTCCAGAAAGGTACCATTCTTTTCTTTAGTGCTGTGAAGTGTGAATTCTATTTAATTTGTTAAATGTTGTTTCAGTATTTTAACTCAATGTGGTTGAGCTTAAGTCACTGGAGTTGGTGGGCTTTGAGAAGTATATGTAGGAAGAAATAATTTGCACTTTAATTAAATGTGCAGATAGGTTAAGACACTTGGTTACAAATGTCCCTTCTCTAATCATGGAACAAAACTTTTTTTCCAAAATTTGTTTCACTCTGGTTAAGCCTGGACTGGAGAAACTATATAATACTTGCACATTTGATTTTATGTTTATTGCAGCCCTCTTGAGATAACACCAAAACACTGGAATATATTCATCCATAGTTATACATACTGTGTAATTTCACTGCATAAATAGCAGTTAGACATGAGATTTCTGAAGAGGCTTTTCCCCCCAGAGGAATATGGTACGTCTAGACAATTATGTTTCACTTCAGAGCTGGAATATGGTTTTGCAATTTTATGAGTGTACAAGCACTAACAAATATCAGTATTTCCCTAATTACGGTGTTCTGTATTCACTTCCAACTGTGTTTTTTGGGGGGATGGGATGAGTTTTGTCGTGTTTTAAAGTAAATTATTTATGCATTTTGAAAACAAACAACTTTTTCTTGAATTGTCCTTATTTGTAGACCTCTTAAGTTATCTGGTAACTACAGACCGATTTTTTTAAAAAGGAACATAATCATACAAGTTTTTCAAGGATATACATATTTGCATAAAGCCATGTATTCAGACCACACATGTGAAATTAACATACACTATTTGTTTACTTATTAGGACCCAGAAGTCTTCTGTTCAGTTAAATAAAAACTCCATAGCTGACTGAAAACTGGTCTGCACTGGAAGAAGATCAAACATCTGTTTTTACATCTATTAAAGTTTTAACTTGTGTAATGAATCTCTGGGTTTTTGCAAGGGAAAAACAGTTCTGTTCAGTGGTTAAAGTCAAAGAGGATTTATTATGAATTTTGCTTAGATTTCCCTCCATTTAAAAATAACAGCCAGAATTTTCAGGTTTGAATGTTACACTGTTAAATTTATATGTAAGTGCCTAATAAATGAATTGAACTAGGTGCCATGTCATGGTTTTAAGTCCAACTTCAGCAAATTGGTAAAAAATACTAATATAGTTTCACAGGTAATTGTGAGGAAATACACCTTACACCATATTAACCTGACATTTTGTAGTTGTAATACAGAAGTTACCAGATAAACTAAAGTTATAGTGTGGATTTTACAGTGGTTGCTACAAAAATGAAACTTACTCCTTCCACTGAATTTTGCACTGAAACTGTCACACTTTGACCTACCTGTTTTTCTTTTATACTATTTCCTGCATAGAGTAATCCAGCATTGGTCTAGCTTACACTCAAATGTGGTCTGGACCATGGTGCTGTATTTTTTAACATAAGCTTTTTGTGTCTCTTCTTGAATTTAAAGCATTCCCGAATACTCGATTCAAATTTGTTATTCAATGCAAATGATATAGTAATACAAACCAAACAATTATATTCTGATGAAAAAAAGAATTATGTTTAAACATATAAGAGTCCTGATTCACCAAACATATATGCTGGCATTGACTAATGTAAATTGGTCTGTGATTAATACCAAAAAAAAGGCAATTCAGGTTAAGATTGATCCCCCTGCAAATGGTTTAAAATACTAACATTCAAACTTTAAACCTTTTTGACAGGTTTGTGACAACATTGTGGGTTAGGGACCCGAAATTCATAACAGCTTGGTTTTCTTGACGATCATTTTAAATACCTGAAGTGGTTTTATTGGTGGTTTCTTTTGTAGTTTGTTTGTTTGAGATTTTTTTCCTTTTTTGTTTTGGTTTGTATTATTTATTTTCACAAGGGACAGTAGATTGTAGTGGAGGAAGAAAGTGGGATTTGCATAAATACTTATATCTCCCTGAACAATCAAGTGGAGGTATCAGGAGTTGTTGTATATTTGGCTTTGGTTCAAGAAGAATATTTCTAGGTTATGAAATATTTGAAAATTATGCGTGTGCAAGAGATCTCTTATTCTTAAGGTGCTGGAGAGGAAAATGAAGAAAATGTGTATTTGCATTTCTGTTGTCTTTTATGTCACTACTTTTTCAGAACAAAGCACATTTATTAAAAAATATCTGAAAACGTGAAAACATTTTAAAAAATTCTTTGGGGTGGAGATATTGTGTTTTCTTTCTGGGTAATCTGTTTATGCTGAAATTCAGTGAAATCAGTGCAGAGTTATTTTCCTTATTGTCAAGAAAATAGTTGTCTTGGGTTTATTTTATAACCAGTAGAGATGTTAAATTTGGTACTTCAGATTTGGCTTCTACATCTCAGTTGAAGTGTTTGCTTTTTAGAAGGGCTTTTGGAGTTCCTCCAGTTGATCCTGTATCATGTTTCTTTGCCTGACCACTTAGGACATGACTGACCTCTTTCTAATTCAGTTACTCTCATCTCTCACTACATGTTCCTTATTTCTTCTATCTCCCTGATATATTTTTGTAGCACCTGTTGAAGGTTGCCCCTTTGAGGTCATTGCTGTACTTTTCTGTATCTTGATTCTGAGTACTGGAGGTGTTGAGAAAAGGACGGCAATGGAAAAAGAAAGCCAAAGAACTGAAAATTCAAGGCTCCTTCCCAGATCCAGATTCTAGGAAGATTCAATTTCAGCAGAACTGAAGTGTGTCCCCAGCACTGCAGAGCCTAGCTGGTATATTCAGGTCTTCTGCTTGCTTAGTACTACTTCCTGCAGAACCTTTCTGTCCTCTTCTGCTTCAGGGAGTCTTGCTGACTTGCTTTAAAAGTGGTCATTCTAAGGCTTTTAAATCATATCTCCATGAATCAGCAGTAGGTTTTCCACTTGTTTTTCTTTGTTTCCTCAGTTTTTCTCAATTGTTTTGGACCTGTAGAATAGCAAGAAGATTTCACAAACTTGCACAGAAACTTTGCTGGGTTTTTTTTTACTTTATAAGTAAAATATTCACCACAAAGTACCAATAGTTGCCTGAAGAGTATTCCTAAATCACAGTTACACAGATACAGTAGCAATTAAATGTTGTCCATGACTGATGGTAAAGCATCTGAAGCATGTGACCTTCCCTAAGCAACTGCGAGTTCCACTGTTCTGTTTGTTAAAGGGAAACAGCTTGTGGATTTTTTGTTTTGTTGGGTTGGTTGCTGGGGGGGTTGCAGTTTTTATGGTTGTTGTTTTGTTGGTTTTTAATCCATGTAACTTTTAGAGCCTGTTGGCCTGTTTTACTTGAAATTTGAAGAGTAGTAATGATTTTGGAGACAACTGACATTCTTGTGAATCAGTTGTCTGAATGATTGAGGCAGGAAAGACAGACAGTCAAGTTTAGATGTTTAAGGCTGTCAGTCCTAGTACTCCTTTGACTCGAGGCAGAAGGGGCTAGTTGTGATGAATCGCAGAATGGTTAAGGTTGGAAGGCACCAACCACAGTGTGTTATCTAGTCCAACCTCCCTGCCCAAGCAGGGTCATCCTTGAGCACATTGCACAAGATTGTGTCCAGACAGTTCTTCAGTATCTCCAGTGAAGGAGACTCCACCACCTCTCCGAGCAGGCTGTTCCAGCGTGCATTAACATGCACAGTGAAGAAGTTCTTCCTCATATTCAGGTGGAACTTCCTGTGCATCAGTGGTTGGTACCACCACGGAGAGCCTGGGTCCATCCTCTTGGCACCGTCCCCTTTAGACATTTATACACATTGACGAGTTTACTTCTCAGTCGTCTCTTCTTGAGGCTCAGCAGGCCCAACTCCCACAGTAAGCTGCCTTTGTAAGGGAGGTGCTCCATCGCTTAGTCATCCTTGTCCTCCGCTGGACCCACTCCAGGAGCTCCGTGTCGCTTGCTCTGAGGGGCCCGGGAGTGGGCACAGTAAGGGATGAAGCAATTACAGCAACAAAGGATGTATCTCCCCAGCAGCGCCGCCCTCCTGCAGTGCTCAGAGCCTCTGCGCAGCAGCTGTCAGCTTCTTTCAGACTCCCCTTGGTTTGCGTCTCTAAGCTGTGGAGCTGTTACGATCCATAAACTTCCCGCTATTTGCCCGCCTGTCTGCAAGGGCCAATTCAAAACGTGCATTTCCCACACTGAGTGTAAGGAAACACAGGTGTTCGAGTCATCTGCGTGCCAGAGGATGGAGAGGGATCACTCGGCCTTGCAGTCCTGATTCAAACACAGTTTTCCCGATTCCGTGTCTAAGCACTACTTGACGGAGTTTATAGGTTTGGGTGGGGGTTTTAGTGATTTGTTGCCTTTTTTTTTTTTTAATACTTCTGTCCGGCCACGCCCGGGCGCCGCGGCGGCATTTGAGCCTCGGCGCGGCCCGTAGCGGGAGCGCCGCGCCCGGCTCGACATGGCGGCGTCCGGCGCGGGGGTCGGGAAGGCCCCGGGCCGGCTGTGGAGGTGAGAGCAGAGCGGGCCGGGCCGGGCCGGGGGCAGAGCGGGACTGGCACCCAACGCGGCCCGGCCGGGGGGACACCCCCATGGGGCGTGGGGACCGCCGGCACAGAGCGGCGTGCCGGGGCTGCCCCGGGCGGGACCCGCGGCGCGGGGCGCGGTGCCGGCACTGACCTGCCCCGGCCCCGCAGGTGGAGCCCGCCGGGAGCGCTCCCCGCGCCCGGCACTGAGATCCTGCTGCGGGCGCGATGTGAACCCCTGGAAACTAACAGAGCCATTCATCAGGGGGTTAAGGCTGCTATGTTGATGTATTAGCTAAATACGACGTTTTGTTTCAAAAAAAATTCTTACAGAGTTGCGTTAAAAAAAGTGCTAAATTGGGAGAATAAAGCTGTAGGAAAGCGGGTTTAGTACTTAAGATGGGCCTCACCTGGATTTAAAGTCAGCTGAAGAAAAACTATTGAACCAACTTTGGGTTTTTGTACTTTTTTCAACTTTCTTAGACAAATTAGGGTAAAAACTACTTTAAGAGCAGTGTTCCTTTACATATACGAAGGCTCTTAGATAACTTAATCTCTAAATCTGTACTGAGACTCCATGTTTTGTTTAAAATTATGTTTGCAGAAGTTGATAAATACTTAAAAGTGGGTGTCTACATTCTGTTTGGAATTTAAATGTGATTTGCCTATATGTAAGTCATGTTCAACCCAAAACTTTAAGGCCATTAGTTTAAAACAAAACAAACACCACCACCACCCATGACATTGAACAGTCTTTGTGTAAACAGCCCAAGTATTAACAGAAATTACTAACAAGTAGCTGTGTGTGAGAGAACTAATCACTTACTGAAACATCCTTTAAAACTGAATTGCTGTTTTCTGTGTATCTGGTAATAGCTGCGTGATGGGATGCATTAATCGTGAAAATAAACCTTTTCCTCTTCACCAAAAAGTTAACGATGTATTTTGGTTAGAAAAATGCTAATGATTAATAGCGTGGGTTAGGTCTGCACATTTTTGCTAATTGTCTAGAAGATGGAGCCAGGAAGAGGAGGTTGCATTCGCAGTCCAAGCTGTCATTTTGCAAATACGTTGTTCTCCAGCAGCATTTGTGTCTTTCCTCGAGGAACAGATGTGTTCCCCCGCCCCGGCACGCAATGCAGCTCATGGGGCAGCAGCAGA